GGATTCTGCTTTTGTGTATACTAGCTTAAAATGCTTGTTTCCCAGTAGCTTTGTCTGCAGGGCCAACTTTAGGCTTAAATTATAGCATAGCTATGATTTAATTTTGTAGTATATCAGGCACTTCCCATTATAGGAATGTTTCCACATGCAGGCAAATGGTAATCTTAGCTTTGTTCTTCTGAGGCAGAAGTATGAATTTATGACAGTTTGTAATCTCGTCGGTATTCCTCATGATTTTTAGGATCTTTTTTTATGTCTTTGTAAAATACTTGCCAGAAATATGTATATACCTCTAATAAACTTAGCCTTCTGTGTTTTGAACTTTACAGATAAGCTACTCGGTTATTTTATGCCTATGTTTTTGAAGTTAGATAAATTCAAAATTTAGCATCTTAAATGTTTGAAGACATTTTTTGAGGGTCTTATATTATTTCAGTAACCAGACAAACTTGCTGAGACACAGCATGACAAGGAGGCTTTAGGTGACCTTTTGAGAAACCAGTTGTTCTCCAACATTTGACTCTTGGAAATGACAAAAGTTGAAGTGAATCAACCAAGTAAACTTTTATTTAGCCACAGATGATACACATGGAATGTGATAAGCTCGGAATTATTTATAAAGACATTAAAAGGTGGTTTATGTAGTATATTTCCGTCATAATATATGAAGTTAACTGTCGAGATAGCCAGCTCTGCAAGCCATATTTTTCCTATTAAGTCAGGACCCACTATTGTGACCTCTGAAATCAATTTGGCTGGCCAGAGGCTCTGAGCACTGTTTATCACACTGAGCAAATAGATCTAAGGACTACAACGCATATATTTATGTTAACTTCTAACCAACACAGAGAATGAATAAGCTCTTCCATTGGACCTCTCTGTAAATTTCATAAGTAATGAGGACCAAATGTGAGAGAGGGGTTGTGCAGTCCAAACATATGGCATAAACTACCACATGTAGTGTAATAAGGTCGAAACCTAACTTGCGTGGTGCTTAGAGAATTCAAACCCCCAGGAAGACAGCATCAAATGAAGTGAGTGGAAATTGCAACTGTTTTGTTTGTTTTCTCCTATTTTAGACTGAAAACGCAATGCAATTTGATTCAAAAGCCATTCCACTGACCTCAGAGCTGGGGCGTGAAGAGGTCAAATGACTTCCCCTAGTCAAACAGGATGCATGTGGCATTTGCCATGAATAGAGTCCAAAGTACTGGTCCCATGTCATAACTGTAAGGCCATTCTTAGTGTGACAAAAGCTGTTCTATTTTAAGCAGATAGAATTGTTTGTCCAACTTGTCATTATGGCTCAAATTTATGAATTGCTGTAGTAGTAGCAGAGAAAGCAAGCTGTACATACTTGTAATAAGAAGCTATGAATGTCACTTGAGATGCAATTCTGTAATTCCCTGCTGAAATTCAGAGAAAGATAGCTCATATAGCACATGGTGAAAGACTCTTCACAGCAGTTCCGTGGCTTTGTGTCTTAGAAATATTTTGTAATGATCTGTATTTCTGGGTAATTCTGTTTTCTGTCCCAGGATTTAAAAGGTACCAGGACCAAGTGCTGGTCTGTGATATTCCTCTGAAGTAACTTCATAATTAACTCCTGTTTTACAGAAGGGGACAGGAAATGAAACATCCTGGTCAAACATTCTGGAACCTATTTGCTTAAAATTAAGCAACTGTATTCATAATTAAGCAACTGAATCAAGGAGGCTCAGTTTTCAGAGCTGCTTGTGACCTCAGCAAACAGGAACAGGCTTGGGTCAAACAACTGCTCAGTGTTTACTATTTAAAAAAAAGGAAGGAAAACGGCAGCATGAAGTCTAAATGTGTTATATTCATCCACATGCAGTACAAGACTGTTCTGTAACCTGTGGCTGCCCCCAGGTACTATTGGCAGGCCTCTGACCACACATTCCTGTTTATTGAAAAGTACTTTCCTTGCTCTGACTCCTTCTCACAACCCTGGACAGGCAGGGACTGATCCAGTGAACTGCACTGAACCTCCCTTACCCTTTCTAGCAGCTGGCCTGAAAGCCAGGTGGAAACTGTTAGCAAAAAGTCTTGTTTTCTCTGCTGAGCCTTTGCAAACAGTTTCATGAGAGGCTTTTCCAGCCTGGAAATTAGGCAGTTTATCAAAGATCATACAGGAAATCAGTGACAGCATAAGGAGTAATATTGGATTTCTTCACTTTCGAGACCTGGACTTGAACTGCAAGACAGTTCTGACTCTAAAGTTTATTAATAAATAAAAACCCTTAGCAAACGCATGTATATGAGGCTGCATATGTTTCAAGAACACAAAGAAATATCCCTTCTGAATGATGATTAACAGTTATCCCAGAAGAAAAAATCTGGGTCCTTAGTGATGTTAGCCAGCATAGTTCCACTGACAATCCCTTACTGCTTACCTTTTTCAGAGCAGGGCTTAACCAAGTGCTTCATATATGTGGATGCCAAAGTGTCTAGGCTTTGCAGAGGTAATTTTAAGTCTTTTTCTGAGCCCTAGCCATAGAGTCTAGTTTCAGCATCTGCACTGGGAGCAATTGTAAGCAATGTTCCTCCTGTTTTTTTCCCCCACACTGATAAAGAGTTACTGCATGGGAAGAGTAGGAGTTGGAGATAAGGAAAAATGCAAGCTTTGAGAAAAAATTGCGTTCTAAAGGTGCGCTCTTTCAGTTGAGTTTTAAACTACAGGAGGCTTGGTAAATATTTGGTATTTATTTAGGTGCGTTTTCTTTCTCCTGCTATACATCATGTTTGAAATTCTAAATATATAATCAACATTGTTGGGCAGTAGGCAAATATTTGTTATTGTCATTAGGGGTTTTTATTAGTACCATTAGGAAAAACAGGAGTTTGGGAGGAAATGTTAGAATCCAAGTATTGTTGTGTTGTGGTAGCTCTTAAGACACTTAAAAGCAAAATTAATTAGAGACTGGAATACAGGATTGTAATCAACAAGAGTCTAAAAATATTATTTTTTTTTGTTATTTAATTGCATCATTCAATTTGAAGGTATTGTTCTGTATATAGGTAGAGACGCTTAAAAATCCAGTTATTAACCTGATTGTCCTGCAAAACTGCCCAAATGTAATGTTGTTGCAGATGTTAGTGGTACTGCGCTTTGTTTATGCTATTTCTCAGCAGCTGTTAAGATATTTGAAAAAATTACTCAGATGGGTGGTACTGGTATTTAGTGCAGAATCTACCCCCCAGAGGCATGTAATTACATGAATGCAGCCCAGTACGTATCATTTTATCAGGACAGCAACCAAATAACATTCCTTCAGCCTGATGAAAATTATGAAAGGCAAATGTTATCATAGCCTCTTGACAGAACAGGCTGTATTGACTCTTACTACGTATTTTTATTTAATTAAGAGATATAAAATTACACAACTTTCTCCCCCCTCTCCATCCTTGCCTATCCATCTACGAATGAGAAATCTAATCCTGCTAATGTGTGTGCACATGCGTAGCTTCACTTGCAGGAGTAATCCTTTCCAAGTAAGCGAACTACTCTTGGAGGAAAGGTATGTACATAAATACAAACTTTCAGATGTGTTTCTGCAGGCAGCGTACTCTGGAGACCCCTCTCCAGTTGTCCTTAGCATGCTAAAATCAGTGGAATTGCAGGAATGCAGGGCTGAGTTCCAAAAGCGGGGGGATGAATTTCAGCTTCTGAATGGAGCTAGTGCCCAGCAAAGTACCGGTGACCTCATCCGTAGTATAATGGGCTGGTCCTGTCCTTATCTCAGGGACAGGTTTGTAGTGCAGCTGAGTCCAGACAGACAATATAGCTTTAAATGATAGCAGAATTTAGCAGAATATTTGTTTTGACCATTGCAGATACTTCTGTAAGACTGTGGCCATCTGTGGTGTGTTGGAATGAACACGTGAAGTCTGAGTACTTTGTCCTGTTCAACCTCCGTTTGCTATTTATTTTCCCATTAATTTCTTTTTTTCTGGGTTTTTCGCTTGGTTTTTATTCCCTCCTTCCTTTCCCCCTCTGCCCCCCTTCTCTCCCTCCCACACTCTTCCTTTGGAGTTTTATAAGGAAATTCCTATATGAAATACCATGTTGTACTTGTAAGTTCCAGAAGCTTTTGCAACAGAAGAAAACAGACGATCTGTCTGTGGGATCTGTCTTAAAAAAAGCCCAAGAAACCAGACAGGCATATTCTCATCTATAGCTCTTACAGTGTGTCTTATTCTCATGGGAAGCTTTATTTTTCTTTCATCTCTTACTTGTTTCTCAGCTCACTAGCAGAAAAATTACCACAGTTATATGTGTTGTCCCTGAAATATGTTCTATATGTTTAGTTCTCTACCTCCTTTGCTGTGTTATGGAAATCTAATGCATTGAATGTATCTGAAAATCAGCATTCCTTTATACAAAGCTAGATACGTGATGCAGAGGAATAAATCCATGAACTTTCAATTGCTGGAGCAATGAAATGACTGTCTACAATTTTGTGAACTGTAATTTGAGGTGTGTGTGGGTAGTAATTTTATAAGAAATAGCTTCCTGACATTTTAACTGCACTTTTTTGCCTACATTTGCTTGGTGCTTCTCTGGTTTCTGACAGATATAATCCCTAAACTTGCTTCAAAGAGGAACAGAGCAGTGAAATACAAAATCCAACTAGAAAAGAATAGAAAAATCACACTTAAGTGAAACTTTGCATTTGGTCTCCCAGGTATTTATCAGTGATACTGTGCTCAGTGCTCTGTGTTAAGAAATAAATGCAAGGAAGACAGTTCCTGAAGATTTCAGGTGTTGTCTTGATTTGAGCATTTCTATAAATGCCTGTAATCAAAATACTCCACAAGCTTTGTGCTAGGAAGTGACAGCTAAGAAGTGATAGACATGTGAAACTTAAGTCAATGTTTGGTTTTTTTTTAGGACCAAGAACCTAAAGAAATTGCAGGTTACTATTTGCAGGGCAGTAAAACACTTCCCCTTTGACTGTTCCATTTATTTTCTTCCCTAGAAAGCAACTCTGCAACATGACATTTGAAGATTTTGAGAACTACTCGTACTTCTATGACCTGTCTGAGGAAGATGAATCACCCCAGTCCTCCCTCAGCATTGCCCACATAATTTCCCTTTCCTTGTACAGTGTGGCATTTCTGCTGGGAGTGCCAGGTAATGCCATCGTCATCTGGTTTATGGGCTTTAAGTGGGATAAAACTGTCTCTACACTCTGGTTCCTCAATCTGGCCATTGCAGATTTCATTTTTGTTCTCTTCTTGCCCCTCTATATTACGTATGTGGCAATGGGCTTCCACTGGCCTTTTGGGAAGTGGCTCTGCAAAATGAACTCATTCATTGCACTACTTAATATGTTTGCTAGTGTTTTCTTCCTGACATTCATCAGCCTTGACCGCTACATCCGCCTTGTCCATCCAGTCTTTTCCTACAAGTATCGGACTGTACGGAACACTCTCATTCTTAGTGGGATCATTTGGATGTCAGCTGCAATTATTGGTGGTCCTGCCTTATACTTTAGAGACACGGTTACAGTCCTCAACAATGTCACCATTTGCTACAACAACTTCCATGTGCATAACAGAGAACTTATTTTGCTGACGCATCACATTCTCATTTGGGTGAGGCTTGCATTTGGTTACCTCTTTCCTCTAGTGACCATGGTCATTTGCTACTCATTGCTGATTGTCAAAGTGAAGAGGAGAACTGTATTGACTTCCAGCAGGCTTTTCTGGACCATCATTGCTGTAGTTGTAGCTTTTTTTGTTTGCTGGACACCATATCACATATTCAGCATCGTGGAGCTGTCAGCTCACCATGATGAAAACTTGCATGACTTACTGCAGGATGGCATTCCCCTCTCCACCAGCCTTGGCTTCATCAACAGTTGCCTCAATCCAATCCTTTATGTTCTGATTAGCAAAAAGTTCCAGGCTGAGGTCAAGACTACGGTCTCTGAGGTGCTGAAGTTGGCACTGTGGGAGGTGAGCCGCTCTGGAACTGTCAGTGAGCCGCTGTGGAGCTCGGACAACACCCATGCGCCTGTGCACTATTGTGAAACTGCCCAGTGACTGCTCCTGTCACCGTCCCTCTCCAAAACAGCCGTCAGGAGATTTGGAGGTGTTCTTGACTTTGCATCTGTCGGTCAGATGTGCATCTTTGCATCTACAGTTGTATGTAAACACCTGGCTTCATTGCACTCGCTGCTGTCCTTGAAAAAGTTAGAAAGGATGCATCGTTTGGGTGTGGTGAGCTTGCAGTGCACACACAGCCTGAACTGAAAGTTGTTAGCATAAGTGGAATTGCTCCAACTGGATTTTTTAATCAGGAATGCTGTTGTAATTCTGTTGTTGTGTTGTGGTTCCATACCTCGTTGATATCAAAAGAGCACATAATAAAAATGTTCCTCCTTGCCATCACTGATGATGCTCTTGATCAAGCATTCTCATCCAAGAGGGCATGGCCATACATCAGTGGCTCGAGTTTCCTGATTGTCTAGTATTGCCTTAAGTAGGAATCACCTGACTACATCCCAGCTAAGTGAAACTATTGGTGGCTCTACTCCACAGCTGGAGAAGAATCCTGAGACAGAGAAGAAAAACTCTTTTCTCCCAGAACTCTTTATGTTATACTCTAACACAGGAGATTCTGTGTTTTCTGGTCACTTGTTCTTCTAGGGCCAGTTGGATGCAAAATAGTGAATAGATGTTTCATCTAGGTTTTAGGATCATTTGAAATGGGCAAAGAATTAACGGAAATGTTTCTTACAGAAGCTGAGATTAAAGACTCTGTGCCACACTTCTTCATTTTCTGTTTAAACTTTCAGGCTTAAAGTGGTTTACAACTGTCAGTTCTTTATTGCTCTGTCAAACAAAGGTGAAGAAATGTTATATCATTTTGTTTGCCTTAACGCCAGTCTTCAAAAAATGGGCAGGGTGATTTCAACAATATTCTGTAACAAGTCTGCAGCCAAATTTGGACTTCTTTCTAAATGAGAGGCAAATGGAAATGGAGCCCACTTCACTAAGAAAGATTACAGAGCCCCAGCTACACTGTGTTCTGTTCCAACTTGTTGCTTGCTGTAGAATCACACGTGCACCGATGCAAATATATATGCTAAGTGGAGAGGACCAATTTCTGATGAAATACCACTTTAATTAAAGAGTTGAATGTGGGATAAAACTCCACTAAAAGTAAAAACATAAAGGTTTGAATTGAAATTCAATTGAAACTGGTTTTTCCTTGGTGGAAAAAAGGAAAGGAATTGTTATTGGCTTAGGTACATACAATAAAACTGCCTTTCAGATAATCTACCTAGTTTCTATGGTCTGACAACACATGTAAGTAGCATTTATACTGCAACTGAGGCCTTATATGTAAATATATTTGCTTTTGTATAACATATGTACATCTGCATGCATAAGCACATCCAGCACTGGTACCTGTACAAATACAAATAGTCTGTCTATGGCCTGAAACTCTTTCTTTGAGCTTTGCTTTCAGGGAGTTTGGAAGTCAGGCAGGATCAGTGGAATTTCAGTGTATTTCATTTGGGGTTGGAAAGTTGGTAAGCAGCACCATTCCATTGAGTCATTTGCTGCCTGGTACATAGTGACTCATCATAGTATTTGGCACTGTGCTGCTGAATGTGCCAAAATCAAACATTTCACTGTTTTCCTTCACATGTTCCCTGACATACTCCTAAGAGCAATGCAGTAGTACCACTCTCCTGACTGTACTCCAAGTGAAGTAATAAAATAATGTTTCCAGAGAATGTGGTCATTTGCTTTTCTCGGCAGCAATATGCAGTGACTTTCCATTAGAGGACCTCCTACTCAAAGATCTTGGAAGATGAAGGCAAGCCCTGACCCTTTCTACTACAGGAATAAGGTTTATATCAGCTTTCCTCCTGCATGTCAGCTATGTGAGCACACATACTACTATACAGTAAAGAGATTGATTTTCAAATGGGGGAAACAGACTTAGGCTGTCTTACGTAATTTATCAGAAAGCCTCCCCTGAAGTAGAGAACAGAGATACAAAACAGAATATGGCCAAAGTCAGCCCTGGCCTATGCAATTAAGTGGATTAATAATTTTGCAATATAATTACTACCTTGTTCACACCAAGATCAGCTACAGAATTGTCTCCAAATGTTTTCTGCAAGAGTAATGGAAGATACCCAACAAAACTGATAATGCTTTAAGTTTCTGTTTCCAAAGAGAATCTAAAACAATACCAACAGTTCTCTGCCGCTTGGACTAAGGAACACTCGTTCAACCCAACACAATGGAAAAAGCAGCTCGAAGAAGGGGATTTATCTTATGCTATAAGCTACTGTAGAAAAAACACTTCATAGGAAATAGCTCTGTGATCAACCATTCATTCAAGAATAATACCTACTGGCATGCTTCATAATAGACAGGTTCTGGTTACTTGCTGTTACCTGCTTCCTGAGCAGTTTGTACTTGTGAAGGTTGTTATGTAGATCAGTTTGTAACCGTTGCTTTTGTTGAAGCTGTTTTCCCAGTATTCCTGTGTATCACATATTTAAATTACAGACCTTTCTGCTGGTCTTTCTGTTAAGACACTTGAGATAGTAGTGTCTCATTTACTCTAAGATGCTGATTTTTCACAGGCACAATGACACACCAACACATACCCAAATACTACATAACATAAAGATATGTTGATTCTGTGGCGTTCCCTTGCCCTATATCTTTTTCAACTGCAGAGACTGTGCTTTTTAGCTTGTCTTGTTCCTGTGCAGCAAGTTGCCTTCTAAGATCAAGGAAAAGAATCCCACAAATGAAATCCCAACAACTGAGGAGTTTATACATGCATGCTTAGCCTATCATATACACACACAGGGGAATCCAGCCTGGCAGGTCAGATGGATGGCTCACAGGGCTGTATTTAAACAAAGTTAGCCTATGAACCAAACCATTTTATCTACCTGAAACTTTAATTTCAATGTCAAGGAAAGAGTTTAAAGGTAAGAAGCATGTTGGATGGGAGGTCAGAAACAGTAATGGCCAAGGACAATAAAAATTGTATTTTTATGGCAGAATTTTTTTTTTTTTGTGGCATTTGCTGATTTCTTGCTTTTAACAGCACCATGAAAGAACTGATAAAACTGAGCTACCTGATGTAGAAGCAGCAGCTAGGGCACTGTGCGTTATTACACATGGGATGAAGCCAGTCCTTTAAGAGTTAAGTTTATGGGAGGTGGGACTGAAGCATGTAATTATACTTACTTTCAATTGTTGAATAATACTTTAAACCTCTAGGAGGCAGATTTTTTTTTTCTCTGAGACAAATTATAAAACAAAGCTCTTGCATAATGTGAAGCTGGCAGACATTCAGACAGGAGAAACAGGACCTGCTGTCCTAGATAACCATACACACATGCTCTGTGAAACAGAGCAAAAACTTATCTTAGCTGCTGCTCTCAGGCTTCAGCACTGAGTGACCAACATGGCATGTAAAAGGCTTCCATTTCAGGGTCACAATTTCTGAGTCCAACAGAAAGCCTAGAAATGTGATTTTATTTATAAGCTTCACAACTTTGACAGCCTTTACACATTTGTATCATTCCCATGGATAAGGAATGGAGAACAGTTCTGATAGGTTCTTCAAGCTTTAAAAAAAAAAAAAAAAAAGTCAAAAATCAATCTAGAAACCAATCTGGAGTGAAGCAAGGAGCTCAAGCTGGTGTTAGTTACACTACTTTATCTTTGCATTTTAATTGATTTTAATTTAATTTGTTTTTTTGTTGGTTTTAGTCTGGAGCATGCTTTGCTTATTAGCCAAGTAAAACACCCATCTGCATGAGCTGCAGCCTCAGTCACTGCAGGCTGTTCATCCCCGCACTGCCCTGCAGAGGAGCTGGTGCCCGGGGTCCTGTTGGAAGGTGCATGCTGCCCTCTAGTCGCCTTTGAGTTGCAGTGCCTTTCGAGAAGCACAACCCCACTCCCAAGCTAACCAGGGCTTGCCTCGGCTATTTTAAGGTGCAGGATGCACAAGGACCTTAGAATACGAATCAAAGTAGGAGTTTTTACCAGCCCCATTCTTTGCTGTACTAATTCAGAAGCCCCGGAAAAGATGGAAAGTTTACAGTACTTTCACTGCAAATGTTTTCAGACATCAGAGAAAAAGAGGTCCAAGTCCACACCACAGGAGATATAAGGCACCATGCTGGTCTCCAGTCCAATAGTGTTTCACTACGTGCCTTGGCACCATTAGCACACAGCAGTAGCTTCTAACTTGCCTTCACTTCCATTCCCCTCAGTGAAGCTAAGTTTTAGCTTTCAACAAAAGCCACAGTGTATTTGGTTAGTCACAAATTTAGCAGGCAAAAAGAATTCATACTACTGTTCTTACCTGTTAAATTACCTGTACTTTGCCAGAGCCCTGTCTTTTCCCCTTGAAACCATCCCTTCTTCCAGAGGAATTACAGAAATGTCTACAGATGCAGCTTCCCCCAAGAGCAGTTCAGATTTTTCAAGCCAAGTAGATGTTAAACCTGGACTGACTGTACAAATTTTCTCTTTCTCTGGCTCATGCTCTTGGGTACTACAGTGGGATGTTGGACCAACCCTGAAATTCAGTTTTAGCTTCTACTTTACCCCTCAACTAAATTTTTAAGGGTTTGACCACACAATGATTTTGAATTAACCACAGACAAGGCCCCATTTTTGCAATTGCATTTATTCTATCTCAAGACTCAAATCTTATTGAAAGCAGCTACATCCATTGATTGTACGTAATCTTCAAAAGCTGTTATTCTCTCTTCCAGCATATCTGTTCCAACTTTATCATCTTCAACAACGCACTGGATCTGAAGCTTTTTGATACCATAGCCAACTGGTACCAGCTTGGCTACAAAAACAAAGGAAGAAAAAGAATAGCATTGGTACTCTTTGATTGGTGAGATCTCTTAAAAATGCAGATCTAAGATTGAACTGAGCAAGTTTGCAGAAATACATAAACAGCGTAATTTGCTCCAGATTATAAACTACATCATTAATACCACAGCATGCACAAAGTGGTTCGAAAAGGGTTTCTTTCTGTGGGTGTCCCCCGACCAAACCAGTGATGTGTGTGAATGGGTGTCTGCTTGCTGCATTAGGTGCCATACAGGGAGCTGCAGGATAGCAGAGCCAGTTTTAAAGCTTCTGAAACCTGCATCTGGATCTTAACCTGGCTGCTGCACTAATACACCTCTTTGACTATGTCAAGATACAATGCAGGAATGCAATTCCTGCAC